TGACAGGGAAAGAGGAAAGAATAAAAAAAAACCTTGGAGCAGTTCATTAAATACATAGATTCCTTCTGACTAATCTCTCAATTACTCATGATTTATGTATGCCTCTGTAAGGAAAGACTGCCAGACTGAATATTTTTTCCAAACTTTTTAAATTTCCTGATGTTTTCCATAACTTTCAGAAATAAGAATTTCCATGCCTGAGTCAGGGACAGAACTATCAGTCACATTTACCCTGCTCAGCAATAAATGCACACCCGCTCCCACCCCTGGGATGCCATGAGAGGAGTTCGACAAAGCACCAGCAGCAACTTTATCAAATCACCCCCTGCTGTACGTGAGGATTGTGCCAACTGACTGGGTTACTGCCTTGGCACTTGGGTTCTTGCTTTGCACATGGTAAGGAGGAAGATAAGGGAATGTGCTGACAACCATTTCATTATTTGCCCAGTGATAGGATCTTCGGCCCTTGTCTGGGGTAGGCAGCTTGAGATCTGTGAAAAAACCACACTTCCTGACTTGTCTGTGCCAGATAAAGCCCAATCCATTTTCACAGTGTCACTAACTCTTGCTGCTAGTGCTGGTGGCATGAGCAATACTTCCCACCATACTGACTTCCCATCTCTTATTAGGCTTCTGAACCCACAGACTCACCCTGAAATCCTCCCATAAACAAGGGAGGACTTTATTCCCTCCTTTATCTAAGCAGACACAACTAAGGACCATAACAGACAAAGATGATCTTATATTATGGATCATCATCAGACGTGGGTTAATGACCTGCCTTCAGATTTTTTTTTCTTGATGAATTAAATACAGAAATTTTTCTTTGAATCACCACTAAAATTTAGATTCCCGGGGCTGTAACAGAATTGAAATTTACACTTTGGTGAGCTGCTGAGAATTGATTAAACTCTCTCTGAGGACATGGAAATGTGACACCAGTGCACTTTACTGATGGATGACCAAAGGACAAAGGTTCATTCTAGCTCCAGCTACAGCCACAGTAATTTTGTGGTAACATCAGCATGGGGCTAATGCAGATATAGTGTAGTAAGAATTACAGATGTCCTCATGGCTTTATTAAAATAAATTTTTTCACATTCTGAATAAAACTAAATATGGCTGCACAGCAGTCAAAACATAAAATATCTATTGACCCTTATAAGTCAATATATATATATATATTGACTTATAAGTCTACTAATGACATAAGAAGGTGAAAACTCTTGTGAGGATGTTGCTATCTCAAATGTTCAAGTGTTCAAAAGTCCAGAATTCCAGTGCTGACAAGACACTCAATAACTAGACTGGAAAATAATTATGCAAACTGCAATCTGCATTTGAGGTCACTGAGAAAACTGCAGTTCTGCTCCTGAGTTACCATAGAGAGCGCAGACAACTCCAAAAGACAGCACAATCTTGAAACAATAGACATTTTATTATGACAGCAGAAAAGCAAAAAAGCAAGGGGGGAATAAACTGAACGTTTTTGTGAGGTTACACACACCTGAAGCAACTGATTTTCCTTTCCATACTGAACTGCTCCTTCCTTATGTCAGATAAACTGAAGCCATTGTGACAGGACAAGCAGCAAAACAATCTTTTAGACACAGCAAAAGCCCTGTCATATTCCAAGATGTGCAATTTCCAATGGGTCTTCTCATTTCCCAGATTTTTAACCAAAAGAGATTCTACAGGACAATGATTAAGAAGGAACTATAGATATTAGGGAAGTTTGGAAATTACATAATGTATTTCTCAGCCCCAGGGAAAGAGGACTATAGATTTAAGCCATTTCTGGTAGATATTACTATACATTTCCAGGGACTGGGATTTCCCAGTCTTTCTTGACATCTATTTCACTGCTATCTAAACCTTTTGATGAGATGTCCTCCCCTCATTTATCTTCTTGTAATTTAAGCCCATTTCTTTTTGCCCTTTCAACTTGAAAAGATCAGTCTATCCCTTCCCACTGCACCTACCTCCTGAAATATTCTCAGTTCTTATGCATTCCCTCTTTTGTCTATTAAAACCCAAAAAATCTTAGTTCTTTCTGTCTGCCTTCATTAGTTACAGTTTCTAGAACTTTGTTCACTCCATTTGTTCTCTCCTGGGCTCTCTGAAATGAATGAAATGTACAAACAAACAAAAAGTTAGGAATATCTGAGTCTCCTATAAAAGCAGATTTAACTAATTCTGTTTAAAACACCCCCATTCCAACATCTGAGCTCCCATGCAGCCCTTTCACTGGAAGACAGGCAAGCTGTTTACAAGGGAGGTGAGACATACACTCATCACAGGGAAACTGAGGCACAGCTAAATGACCCACATAAGACTATCATGGACATCTACCTCAGACAGGAATGGAACCATGACAAGTTACTAACTGAGCTGTGCAGTAACTTCCCCCTGACTCATAACACATAACTTGAAGCCAGTGTGCCCAGACTTTGTGGCTGCTGAGTTTTTAACTAAATAGTACATGCTATATTTTTATCATTTTTTTGGTGTTAATAATTTCTTTCTGTTTCAAGTGTCACAATCTATCCATTGATTCCTTTGAGGTACCAGACCTATACTTGAACTGCACTCCACTTGTGCACCTGCTTGTCAGTACCTTACCAATCTGTGGCTGAATATTCTTTCCACAGACCATCTCACTCCAGTTCTAAGTTTTCTGCTCTGTAATCCCTCTCCTAAGCTTTGTTTCTGAAAGCAGGCCCAGTATTGTAGTTTTCCTCAAACTAAACTATAAAATTATTACTTTTGCATTTTCCATGTCACAGTGTGACTGATATCTTTATCCTTATGAATAGCCCCTTAAATCATCCATAAAACCTGGACCTAATGATCTTAATCCCTTGCTTGTATGTAACCTCCTCTGGGCAAAGCTTAATAAGCACCAATAGCTTTCTAAGCTTACAGCTCACTAGAGAATCTGGATGAATGTCAGGCTTTTATGAGATTTCTACTGTAAATTCAGTCAAGCTTAAGCTGCCAGAGAGATTATGAATACCATATGAATCCACAGCCAAAGTGACCAATACCTTTTAAGAACATGAAATAAAAAATGCAGGAGCAGCAGCGTTTCCTGCTTTGTCTGTCTTGCTCTATTAGAAAAGCCAGACAAAAAGATTCCATTTTGCAGGATAACCTATGCTTTTACATCAACATAAAAAGAAATATGAACCCTGAGGGTCTACAGGCAAGTACTGCCAAATGAAAGGTTCCTGTAAAGGTAAATGTCTCATTTTCATTTCAGTTGAGTGTTAGCAGCAGACTGCCCATCATCTCTTTCACTACTGAACAGCAAACATCTTTCTATTGAACCTGGGCATTTCCAGTGTACCTTATTTATCTACTTATTATTCAGACTGACAGGGAAATATTTTTTCCATTATTGACAGTTTTGAAGATTTCAAATCTCTTCCTGTGGAGGCAACAAAGGAAAAGCCCCCATAGGGATCCACTTGAGATTGGAACACTTTGGCTGCTTTTACAATCCAATGGCACCAATCATTTTATTGCTGAAGAGGTTAGCCAGGGACATATATGATTTTATAGAAGTGTATCCTGGAGTTTGGCACAGGGCTTTTGACCTTACTTGTTCAGCAGCAGCACAGGTAGCCATGGTGTGATGAGCTGAATGTATGGGTGAGTTTGTGGTTGGCTTTCTCTGTCCTCACAGCACTGGCTGGGACCTTCTGGCTCACAGGGCTTAGGTTGCTGTCACCTACACTTTCAGTTATCAATTTTTTGTTATGAAGAAGAATTAGCAAAGGATAACAATTTTGACATCCTAGTGTTCTAGCCACCAGGAAACAGCACACAGCAGATGTAAGTTAGAGGAGGTTTTGCTGATTTATTTTGTGCTAAGAATGGCAGCAGCATGGCCCAAGATCAAGTATGGAACAGGAACACGAAGACACAAAATCCATTAGTCAATGGAACCACAGGTGAGAGCAGATCCTAAATGCATTTCTGGCTACAGTTTAATGGATATGGAAAACACCTATTAAAGTGATATGAATATGGAAAGTGCTACTGCACAGTGACAACATTGTTTTGTCTCTAAAAAAATTGTAGGTTTAAAAATTTTAAAAAGCACTTTTTTAAAAAGGAAAAACATTACCAAAGAAGTTAGAAGCCCTTTCTATATATAAACAATCTTTTTTTCCAATGGCAAGCCTGTCAAAGCAAAACTACCCATCTGATACAGAATTAGCTGGGCACCACAAGCTGCTCCAAAATTTTCATATGCTCCAGAATAAACTCCAGACATCTTTTTTCCAGCAAAGCAGCTGGATCTCCTAAAATACTTTGCTCTTCAGTGGTTAGGACAAGACATTTACTGAATGAAATCTCTCATTCATATGTTTAAAGAAAACAGTCAAAATGTTACATTATGCTGTGCTGAAGTGCCACACAGATCAAGATGATGTAAAGTTTAAACTGATGGTTTTTTACAGTGTACAGTTATCTTACATATAACTTGCATATACTTTGCTGAAGAATGTTTCTATTATTTGAGTCATAAAAGCTTTTAAAAATAATAAGCACACTCCAGGTGTTTTACCATTTTGAACTACAGTGAAGGGTTATTAAATACACAATCTGCAGGCACAAACAGTACTGTGGAAAATGGAAGAACTACATGATTACCCACAGAATTTCAACTACCAGAAGAAATTCACAAGAGGCAGGCATTAACAAGGTAAACACAAAGAAAGAGCAAAATTAAAGAATTCAAAGAAGAGATTCAAAGGAAAAAAATAGTTACAATTAATAACAGCACAACTGTAAAAAATGGCAAAAATAAAGTTCAGCAGTAGCAGAACACAGGACCCAAGCTATAAAATCACAAATAGTGATCATAATGCATCCTTTCATCAAAGTGTTATATAGTACAGAATTCAGCCATACATAAGCATAATCCTCGGTCATTAAAATTTTGGCTCCTGGACAATTTATTTATGCAAGAAGATAAATTGCTGACTTACCTGCTTGCTGCATGCATATAATATATGTGGTAAACAAGTAGAGACAGTGATGCAGCTTCCATTTCCAGTGATAGCACCACATTTCACTTCCATGAGACATCCTGTGGGAAAAAAGAAAAGCAACCAAGAATTCAGGGAGTTTTACAAGACAAGAAAATGAGGAAGACTCTGTTGTTAGTGAAACTAGTAGCCTGCAGTAAATAGTGAAAATTATGGATGGCCCTAGTATTGCTTAAATTGAGACAAAAGTCTGCTAAAAAGGGTCAGAAATTATGTTGTCTGGTTCTTAGTAGACAGCAAAATGGAAGGCTGGTCAGCCTTGGGCTTCTAAGCAGATAGATGTGGGTGTTATTTCAGTAAAAGAAACAAGAAGCACAGTCTGAAAAAGTTAAGTTGCAGGGGTTTTTTTGAAATATGAAATTGTACACATAAACACATTTATTCTATTTAATTATACATAATAAATACATATTTGTTATTAACTTAATAAACACGGTAGATTATAATTTGCCTCTGCCCTTAACTAAGCTTTCCATTTTTCTGTTCTAATGTTTTGACAGCTATGATATCTTCTGCTGACAACTTTTATGAAAATCCTGAAACTTTCCCTGCCAAAATCTAGGAGCTCACCTGTGCTGCCAGAGGAGTCAGGGACATACTGATTATTTCATAAAATAAATGCAGTTATAGAAAAGTCTCTACCAGTTAAAGCTTGAAGTTAAAGTTTCCTTTCCCTTGCAGGCTAGAGGATATTTAACGGCTAAACCAAAATGCTTCCTCCACTGTGGGCAAAAAAGGAAGCAAAAGTCTTAATAAACTTCTTCACACCTTTATTCATGCATCCAAAATGAATGGTGCTCCACTACATTCACGTCTCATTTTATTCAACAAGTTAGCAGCAAGCAAAAGGAAGTAACAAGTAACGAAATACAACAAGCATTATTTTGACCAACTCCTTCCTCTCCTATTTGGTGATGATAATTGGCTTTTGTTCAGTAAGATATTATCTCCCTCAATTGAGGTAAATAAGGAAAAAACTCTTCCTTCTTATCCATAGATATTGCTGTGAACCCACCAGTAAAAGCTGGGGCAAATGTAAAACTGTAAGCGTCTGTTTATTCCCCAAGTGGAAAACAATGCAGCAAGATAAACCACCATAGAGGAACAAGTAATAATTCAGCTTTAAAAGTAGCAATTCATCAAAGCACTCCTGTGGGCTAGATGCCAATGGGCCCAGGTAAATGACACTTCAGCAGACTGCTGCTATCAGTTAGGCTTCCATTGAGTGGAGTGTTACACAGCACAGGTATCTGATTACAAAAGAAGTTCAGTTCTTTGTGGGTAGTTGTATCAAATTAGGAATCTGAAGCAGATTTATTTTTTCTGAGATACTGCAAAGTCAAACCTAACAAGTGTTGAAGACAAGCTCAGAAAACATGGGGCTCCGAAATACAAGAATCTCTTTGATGAAGCCAGACATACAAAACTGGATTATCAAACAATAGAATTATTGTCCTTCCACTTAGTGATCCAAAAATCCCTATTAAAATCTCAACAGCAGAAAGCTGAGGTTTTGGAGCTGTTGCTTTCCAATGTATATAATTCATAAATCCACAATAACTTTAATATTAATTTAGAAAATTGAATTTGAGCAGAAGTCCTTTGAAGACATGAACAGTTGCACACACACCCAAACACATACGGCATACATATATACTCACAGAGTGGGGAAATGGAAATGTTGGGGCTAACAGCATGACACACCAGAGATACAAAAGAATTTTCCTGTGCCTACAGAAGAGTTTGCAGATGAGATACATGGCATCCTGCTGCTTAATCTACCAATGCAAACCTGTAGAAGTGGTTGCATTACTGGCTTTTGTTGCTGGTTTGTTTTGAGCAAGCACATTAAACAGTTATTAGACTAGGAAACAAACAATTATTAATTCAGAATAATTCTGTGTTAAATTCCATCAAACTGATAAATTGTCTGTATCGCCACTTTTGATATCTCTGTGAGCTCAGACAAAGATTTTGCTCCTTTAATAATGGGAGAATCCGAAACAACACATTTGAGATACCCAGGGAAAAATAACATGACAAGTTTCTGCTGCTTAGGTCTGGTGTGAACGAAATTCTATGTTAGTCGGAAAGAAGTATTTAATCTGGCCAATTTCTATTTGTTACTATTTTACTTGCATTGCAGTAATGTTTACAAGCCAGTACTCCGTGGTACTCCAGAATGATAGTTTATAGTCTGTTTCCTCACCCTCACCCATTTAAAAAGTGCTAGTCAAGAAAGATTTCAAGAACATGGATAAGCAACAACAGAGCAGAGCATAAATAAGTGCAAACAATAAGGCAGAAAGGAGTAGCTATAAAGACTTTCCCCCAGAGTAAAAAGCTAGATAACTACATAACTGCTATTAAAAATACACAGCTCTCCACCAAAATAAATAAAACAAAACAAATATACAAAAAAGAGCAAACTATCTCCTCCCCTTCTCCACCATTGAAGGACAAAACAATTATCTTTATACCAAATTGTCTCAGTTGACAAGAAAAAGGTTTATCAAACTCTGACAAGAACGAACACAGAAGCGCACGCTACCAAAACACTCCACTAATGTGGGCACCATGAGTCAGATCTGTTTCTTTTGGAGAAGATTGCTGAAAAACTGTTTTACAAAGCATAACCACCAGCTGAGTGCTATAAATTAGTGAGGAAATCAGTTATTTATATGTTCCTAGGATCTTGCAGACCCAAAAATTCAAAATTCAGAAAGCCTTACACTGTGATGTGTAACACTCCTGTTCACACAAGAAAAAAGTTGTCAGGGATGGAAGTCAGATAACTGCCAACAAAAAGGCTGCATCCACAACAAAATCAATCCCTGATATTTTTATAATTTGACATTTCAGACAATTATGATAAGGTGTTGCAATAACTGATAAATACTTCCAAGGCTTTAAGAAAACACAACTTAGTTGCAGATATTATTCACCTCTTAGTAGCCACCATATTTATTTTAAGGTTCTTTTTCTTGGTTACTAGTGTTAATCAACATCTAGAAATGAATACAAACAGCATATGAATAATTCAATGGAAAAATCAGCAAACAATAATTCAATAATATTCAATAGAAAAATCAGCAAGTTCTGAGCTTGTTTATAGCTTATCAAGGAATGATATGGTCCCCTGACAGCACTGATTTGATGACCCAAGAGACAAACCTCTTTGGTCTTGTGTTCTTATTTTAAATACTATTAAAAAGATGTGTTCTGTCATTTAATATTCATTAACAGCACAGGGGATGATATCAGAATAGCAATGTAGTAAAACACACCAGGAGTTTAGGTAAGCAAAGGGATGGACCCTGTAACAAAGACATGGATCTGTAACAAAGATCTCAGACATGGAGACATGGATTATTTCAGCCTTTGTCTTTGGTTACATTGAAAATTGTTCATAGTGAGTTTTCTTCTGTATTTTGTATCAGTTTAAATGAAAAAGCCCTGTTCTGTCCCCAGCTGGTAACACACTAGCAGCTCTAAAGAAATCACTCTAGATTGTCACAGAACCAAACATTTCACCCAACATATTTGGGAATTATTAGGACACCTACAGTAGGAGTACATCTACTACAGATGGATATAGTCTAGAAACAGGAATCCCTCTCAACTTTTGGGGATTTTTTGAGGGTTTTGGCCTTCTGTGGAGTCTGATTTTTCTAAAGTCTGAAGTACTAATTTTTCTATGGACTTGCATTTCCCAGTGCAGACACTGTGTGACATGACCATCTATGCACTCTAGCTACCAATTCAGTCCAGTCTAGTCCATAGCTACTTTCATTTCCTATAACATAGGGAGACAATAAGCTTATTCACAATTCATTTCAGAAGAGCAAAATAGACATGTAAATTATCTAAACCATAAATGGATAGTAACTTGACACAGTTCAAGATGGAATTACTGGGAGTTTTGCTACATCCAACTACTAAATCTTACTCTACATGCCAGCAGCCAGCTAGCAGACAAAACAGCATTGCCTTTTAGGGAATATACAACTCTGCAGGACAACATACACAAAATGTGAATAATGCTGGAGTATTTCATTTGTAGACTGTACCAACCCAAACCAGGCAATACAAATTTGAATACACCATCTTCTGTGTTCGAAACTTTGTCAAAATTCCATGGAGTAGGATGTGAATTCTGCCTCAGGCATGCTGACATGACTTTTTTTGGTCTTTGACATGTCTAAAGCTATTAAGGAAAAATGTTGCTGACACTTTAAAATTAAAAGAAAGATAATATCAATTTCACAATTTTTTTTCTCACATAGATTGTAAACAAAAATATTTTAAGCTTAATCACTCCCAAGTAGAACTGCAAGTGAAAGATGATTGTAACTCACAGTTTAATTCCCCAAGATTAATAGAGAAGTTGATTTTAACTCTGAAACCATCGCTTTAAACTGTAGTACATTAATGTCTTGAAAGATTAATTACACAATACCCCTTAAAACTTTCATTTTGTTAAGCACTACTTGTTCCTAATTATTCTTACAGCCAGCTTTGAAAACACCCTCTTGCTCATCAAAAGAGATGAAAAAAAATAAGACGCTGCCTTTTAATTTAAACAGTATCAGCCCTATCAGATCCATCTAAGTCCCTTGGCTTTTCTTTCAAAGGGAACCTTTCCCAGTTGCAGGCAACAAATCTGCTGGTTGTTTCCAACCCGGTAGCACCGCAACACTAAATCTTTAGGAACTCCCGATTTCTGCCTTAACTTGACGGCGCTGTGTGAGACCCCCCTGCCCTTTTCACTTGTACCGATTCCCTCGGGCGCATCCCCAGGATCTCGCTCCTGGCTGTGATCGCACCGGCGGAAAAACCTCAAAACCTCAGTACCTCGCCTTACCTTCGGCGAGGGACGGTCAGTAAAGGACAAATATCCCGGGGAAGGCGTCCGGAGGCCAGGGCAGTGTCCGGCCCCGGGGCTGGTGCGGTCCGGCAGGAGGGGGAGCCCCCGCCCGCCCCTCGTCCCCGAGGCTGGCGGAGCCCCCGCTCTGTGCGGTGCCGGGAGTCGCGGCGCGG